TGCTTTTTTACATATATAAAAAGAAATGCAATACTAAGGCTGAAGATCTGCATCCACTTATCCAGGAGTTAGCCCCACTAAAGTTCATGAGGCTTATTTTAAATAACCCCCTAAGAAAATGTGACAGTACATAATAAAGTAGGTACTTTTAATTCTGCTGAGGATACTTTTCAATATTTTCAAGAGAAAAACTGACACAATAAAATCAGAGTCAGTCTTGCTTGGAAAGGTCATTAAAGTCCTAAATTTTATTGCTGATAAGAATGTTTTTATTGTTCATGATGAGCATAACTTATGACATTTAAATTACAACAACCCAATCTTAAGTATAACATGAAAATATCAATATCGGTCTAACAGAATATAGATTGTTTAGTAGGTGTGGACACTATGATTTACACAGGCATGCAAAAGAATGTATTAATTTTATATCTATTCCAGTTACTTATGGGACATCCTATAAAATGTTTTACCAAAACTGCTTAATATATTTTCAGTTTTACTTACCTTTCCATTCTTCAATGGCATGTTCTCTTTCTTCTAATTGTGCATCATAGATTTGGGGGGGTGGCTACAAGCAAAAAAACAATCCTACTTCATCTATTTTTTTGATAAACAACTGCAAATATTAGAGCTAAGGATGAAACCATTGCTTATGGACCTGGGAATAATATTTTGGTGCACTCTCCAGCAGAGCAGCAGCAGCAACTGACTTAGATGACCTTTTCAAGGGTGAAATGCAGGAGTTAGCTATTCTTATTGGCCTTTCCATTCTTAAAATTTTTTAGTGAATTTTAAATTCTTAGTATTAATGCTATCTTCAGATTATTTATCTTCTGCTTAAATGTTATAAAAATTATAGTAAAATGTTAAATTCACAAAAAAGAAACAAACTACTCCAGGCAATTTTTGTTACTGAGTGCTATATACATAAAAATAATAAAGACTTTAAGATACACTTACTGCTTCTGCTTCAGCTGGATCATACCAAACTGTTATATATGGATGCCGCAAAGCTTCATCTACTGAAATTCGTTTGTCTGGATCTACTACTAGCATTTTTGATAGTAAATCTCGAGCTTGACTTGCTAGAGAAAAGAAAAAAAATGTTCCTAGTAACTAAAATCTTAATGTATAAAGATAAGATACGCTATACACACAGACACCTTCAATTTCTTAAATTAGAGATAACAGCAAGAATATGTATCAACTAGAATAAGTGATATAAAAAGGTTCTAATACTTTTATTCAACAGTTAAACTATCATTCAAATTGCTGAATTTCAAAGTTCGATCCTGTAGTTTGAAACCTGAATTTTCATGCATTAACTTACTTCACTGGAACCTCAGGGTGATTCAATTGGAAAAATGAAACAAAACAAGAAATCAACAATCTCCATTACAAAGCCAAATTAGCATGGTAGTTTCTAGCTTGTAACCTGAAGAATACACATTTTAACAAAAACGAGAATATAACAAAACAAAACACTTAGTTCTTTATTGAAACATATACACATAAACTTACTTTTTAGTTTATCACGATCAGACTCTGATGGAAATATCCAGTCTGGGAACAGTTCTTCAAATTTGATACCTGGATATTTCGGCCGGTTTTCTACATAATTCCGTACAGTTGGCTGTAGTTTTTTCATGAAGTCTGCTGACGGTGTACCTAACTGTTCAATAACTTTATTCCACTGATCAATATCTTCAAAAATTTCATTTAGGAAAATAAAATGTTTTTTGCCCAACTTCATATTGTACGAAAGTGGAACTTCGAAACAACTGGGTGCTATTTTAAACAATATCTTTATTTCACAAAACAGGTTCTCACAGAAATTGTGAGAACAAAAGAAAATCTCAACACCATTAATCTGGGTGAACAAAGTTCTCAGATTGACTATGGATAATGCTGCCAAAATTCATACGATATATGAACCAGGTTTGTTCTTAGCTCCTGCTTCACTCTCAACCCATGTTATTCAGTACTATTTCCTGATACCTGGAACTCTGAAAGAAGAGCTGGAGGCCCAGTCTAGGGCACGGAAATCAAGTTCTGACAGTCTTATTATTTACAGTTACCTGACAATACAATCCAAGACATTTTTTTCAGAAATAAACCTTACTGCATTCAGTGGTGCATAGTCCTTGGTAGGTATGTTTATGACTACAACTGAAGCAGACTGGAAAATCATTCTACCTAAAGTAAGAGGAACTGAAATCATAAGTAAGAACAGTTAAGATTCTACAGTCTACAATATATTTAAAAACACCTGAAAATCAAAGTTAAAGAAAATCAGATTATTTATACACTCTGTCAACTTTCAAATACATTTACAAATATTTCTAACCTAACTGCATTTATTCACAGAATACAGCATAATGCTTTGAATGACTGAAGGGGGTTAATTATTTATAATGACCGCCCTGTAACAAGTTCTCTGTTAAATCCTTATGTGAAAGATAACTCTCTAATTCACAGTAACAGAACCTTTCTGCTGTGAAGAAGTTGGAACCTAAATGTATCTTTTGTATCTGGAAGTTTACCATCTTTGGTTCTCGATGGGGTGGCACTACCCCAGAACCAGTGCATAATCTGGGGGCCCTCCTTGACTCAAGACTCCTGCTCAAAGAACAGGTGGCAGTCGTGGCCAGGAGAGTCTTTGCTCAACTATGTGTTGTGTGCCAGTTACGCCCTTTCCTGGATCGGGAGGCCCTCCAGTCACTCACTAGTCATCTCCCGTATTGACTATTGCAATGCAATACAAGGGGCTACCCTTGAAGAGTATCCAGAAGCTACAGCAGGTTCAAAGTGCAGCTGCACAGGCAATTTTGGGTGCCCTAAAATTTGGTTTTATTGTATTTTATACTATTTTTATTATATTTTAATTAATATTCATTTGTTGTTTTTATTGTAAACTGCCCAGTCACTTCCTCATGAGATGGGTGGTGTCCAAATTTGATAGATAGATAGATAGATAGACAGACAGACAGACAGACAGACAGACAGACAGACAGACA